ACGCTTAACCGACTGCGCCACCCAGGCGCCCCAAAAATGTCTTTAAAAAAAGTTTTCTATAGCATTTAGGTCCTCCTGAGGTCAACCTATAGCAGTTGGCCCTTTTCCAAGAAAGGGTAAAAATTGTACCCAAGGACAGAAACAAGCAACCTATGGCTTTAGCCCCTTTGACTAGACTGATGGTAACAGCTTGAGGGAATGCATGCCGTTGTACCTCTGACAAGTGGACTTTATGTGACTTTCTTAGTGGCTTTTTTTTTTGTATTGAGGTGAAATGCACTTAACCATTTTATTTTATTTTTAAACTTTATTTAGAGAGAGAGAGGGAACATGCGGAAAGGGGCAGAGAGAGAGGGAAAGAGAGAGAATCCCAAGCAAATTCTGTTTTCATGCCAAGTGGGACACATCATTCCCACAATGAAGATTTCATGACCTGAGCCAAAATCAAGAGTCAGACACTTAACTGACTGAGCCACCCGGGTGCCCCAACTATTTTATTTTTAAGATTTCTTTTAAAAGCAATCTGTAGGGGCGCCTAGGTGGCTCAGTCGGTTGAGCATCCGACTTCGGCTCAGGTCATGATCTCACGGTTCTGTTCGTGAGTTCAAGCCCTGCGTCAGGCCCTGTGCTGACAGCTTGGGGCCTGGAGCCTGCTTCAGATTCTGTGTCTCCCTCCCTCTCTGCTCCTCCCCTGCTCACACTCTGTCTCTATCTCAAAAATAAAGATTAAAAAAAAAAATCTTAAAAAAATTTAAAAAAATAAATAATAAAAAAAAATAATAAAAAAATAAAAGCAATCTGTACCCCCAACGTAGGGCTCAAACTCACGACCCCAAGATCAAGAGTTGCACGCTCCAGTGACTGGACCAGCCAAGCGCCCCCAAAATTAACCATTTTAAAGTCAACAACTCAGCAGTATTTAGTACACACACAATGTCGTACAACCACCACCTGTATCTAGCTTCGAAACGCTTTCATTAACCCCCAAATAATCCCTGTGCTCATTACACACTTACTCTCCATTCTCTCTGCTGCCAGCCCATCCATCCATCAACAGATGAATAAGCCAATTATGGTATATCCATGCACTGGAGTCTAATTCAGCCACAGATACAAGGGTTCTGAAAACAACATGCTCAGTGAATACTAAGACGCAAGAGGTCATGTAGTGTATGATCCCATTATGTGAAATATCCCTAATAGGCAAATCCATAAAAAGAAAGCAGAACGGAGGCCCTTTTCAAAGTGGTTTCTGACACTACGAGATGAAACTATGGCTTATAAATTGTTGGTGTGTTGGATTCACCACTGAAGATGTATTCGTAGCCTCTCGGGTACATTATTTGTTACTCCAGTTCATCAAAGATGATGCTGATTATCGGATGATGATGATGTGATTATTTCTCATTATCCGATCATCATGTCTCATTAGGCGGATTTTTTTTTCTTTTTTTTCTTTTTTTTTTTTTAACTGCTGAAATGATAGGAAAATTGGCTGGATGCTTTCTGGTCCAGAATACAAAACCCAAGACAAAAGGCAGGCAGAAATCTAGTTACAAGATGTAGGCTTACTAGAAGTACTGTTTCTAAAGTATCTTCATTTAGCCCCTTTCTTTCAGTATGTTTGTTTCTTTCTACGCAATGATCCCATGAAGTCGGGGGTTTTTTTGCTCACTTGCGGGCCCTCTGGCTCCCCCAACTGGACTTAGGGGCAATAGCACCTCGCTGGTCAAAATACTGCCTCTGACACTTACTGGTTACCGGACATTGGCCAAGTCGATTAACCTTGCCTTTTGTCTGTTTCCTCATCTGTAAAATGAGAGCAAGTGGATTAAATAAACTAGGATATGCAGGTGCTTAGAAGGATGTCAGGCACAGACTAACCACTAAAGAACACCTAAGTGCTCCCCAAACAACCAGAGACACCCTCCCAGACCCCATCACGGAGGTACCGTCACCTGGGAACTCGTGAGGTACGATAATCCTCAAGCCCCAGTCCAGCCTTGTTGAACCAGAAACACTGGGTGCTGGTCCCAGCAACCCCTGTTTTAGCAAATGCTCCAGGCGACCCTCAGAGACACTGATCTACGGCACAGCCCGGTTCCTCTGTGAAATGCAGACTCAGGCTCCAGTTTGGCAGAGTCTGCATTTTCTTCTAGTTCCCCAGAGATGTGATGGACACATAGCATGAGGACGTTTCAAGTGTACGACTAGTTTCAACGCGACCGCGGCCAGAGTGGCATTTAAGACGTCCGTCCCATCACATCACCTACATTTCTTTTGTGGTGCGAACCCGTAAGATCCACCCCCTCGGCATCAAGTCTATAATACAGTATTAGGAGCTCTCATCACCATGCTGTGCATTACCAGAACCTGTTAGTCTTATAGCTGGAAGTTCATACCCTTGCATCACTATGTATTGATTCTGCTTAGTAAGCTCTCGGGTGATGCTGCTGCTGGGGTGTGGACGCCACATCAGACAGATGGCACAGGACTGGGGGGCTCAAGGACCCAGGGATCGGATTAATGAATGGAGAGGAAAAGATATTAAGAGGTGGAGGGGTGGGACCAGGGTGTGGCTGTCGAGGGAGGTATTTAAGTCGAGATGCCTCATTTGCCAGCTCTTGTCACAGGAGCAGAGCATGGAAACCCATCTAGATCTCAGGATGTCAGACCCAGGGGTCCTTCCTAAAGGTAAGCCAGAGGGATATGAACTGAAAGATAATATGTGAGGAGTCAGCTGAGAAGGATGGTGGAGGTGAGGCTATCTGGAGGTGAGGCTATCGGAGGACAAAACCAATCAGAGGGAAACCCAGTTCACTGTTGTTTTTTTAATGTTTATGGGGGGGGGGGGGGGACAGAGAGCACAGAGCATAGAGGTCCTAAGCTGGCTCTGCCCTGACAGCAAAGAGCCTAACACAGGGTTTGAACTCACGAATCGTGAGATCATGACCTGAGCCAAAGACGGATGCTCAGCCGATTGAGCCACCCAGGCTTCCCACCGCCCCCCAATTCTGCCTTTGAATTCCAAATCTTCCCCTGGTTACCTATGACATAATGCCTCTCATCCTTCAGAA